AATCAATGATAATCCATCAAAATTTATAAAATCTCAGAATTTTCAAAATCTACAAAATCCACATAAGTCCATCTACGAATAAGTGCCCCTAAGTGAATTGGGATATTTTAATCATATTTTTATTGTTTTAATGGTGTAGTTAATGTTTCTTTCCTTTTCTTCATCTGTTTTCACGGATTAAACAAACTTCTTGCCTACCAAAATATCTCATTTTCCTAATATACCATATGAGTGTATCTTTGTATTTACGTAGTTAATGGCTTAATGTTGTTAAATTCACTAGTGTTTTGCTTCTCTTTTTTTATATATCTAAAAATTTGAAAACAATAAAAACAAATTTACCGGTTTTGTTTTTGTAAAAAAATGCATTTAGATTAATATTAAAATATCCAAATTACTTTATCAATAATCTCATTACTCATACAACAAAGAACAAACATTTACTTGCACCCAAATAAATAGAATATAAATTGTTTCTTCAAAACATAGATTGGGGAAATTCACAAGGGAAAAAAAAAACCAAGATAGTTTTCCATAAAATCAAAGTAAATATATTCTCAAATTATCTAGCTCCAGGAGCAAAGTCAGAAGCAGAAGAGAGATTATAGTCAACAGAAACCATTGAGTACATCTCTTCACTACCTTTTCTCCTTGCAGTTTCCAATGCCACACACTCGTTTAGCTCCATCACAACGTGTGCCATTGTTGGTCTCCTGTTCGAAGACGGGTTCACACAGGACAGAGCCAGCTCCACAATCTTCCACGCACCGTTTGTGTCATAATCCCCCATCAGTTTGGGGTCAACGATGTTCTTGATGTCTCCTTTGGTAAGCATGAACCCAACCCATTCATTAATGTGAGGTCTCTCTCGAGTTTTATCTATCACAGGCTGGTTTGTTACTATCTCTAATAGTACTACACCGAAGCTGTACACGTCACTCTTCTCACTTAGCCAGTTAGTTCTGTAGTACCTGAAAAAGTATCAAAGAGAGATAACAAATCATATTCTTATTTGGCCTCAACTAAAAAAATTGATTGATCTACTTACTCAGGGTCTAGGTAACCAGGTGTGCCTGCAACAACTGTCGAGACATGAATTTCGCCATCGATTGGGAAAGATCTCGAGAGCCCAAAGTCGGCTAGTTTTGCACCAGACCGCTCGTTCAATAAGATATTAGTAGTTTTAACATCTCTATGGACCATAGGAGGTCTACATCCATTATGAAGATATTCCAATCCTGTTACAATTGGTTATTGTCATTTTCTTCTACGAATCAGACAAAGGTAGAGAGAATAAGTCGAGTTTTGTTCACCTTGTGCTGCCTCTACAGCTATCTGCATTCTGTTTTCCCAGGTTAGTACATTGCCTCCGCGTTTTCCTATACCGAGCTTCCAATGTTTTAAACTATCGAAACAGAGATTAATTGGACCAAATCAAAGTCTCTTAGTTCAAAGTGTTTACCTGACATATTCTCCCTCAAGTCACCATTTGCCATGTATTCATAGATCAAAGCTAAGTTATCTCCATCATCACAATACCCAACAAGTCCAACCAAATGTCTATGGTGGACTCTTAAAAGAAGCTCCACCTAACAGAGATGACAAAATTGCCATTTTCATGATTGAGAAACTGAACACCATTT